CTTGGGGACAGAGGTAGCCTTGGCAGTGCTGGGCATGGTTAGACTCGGTGTTCTCACAAGGCTTTTCCAACCCAAACAATTGAATGATTCTCAGAGAATCCTGGCTTCTGGGGTGTTTTAAATTATCCTGAGGGAGCTGAGGAGTGGAAAAGCCTCGCTCGGGTGCTTCTGGCAGAGCCTCACCAGGGCTGGCTGTGGAGGACAAGGTGCAGAGGCACAGCTGCAGCCGTGGGGCTCCTCCAGCAAAACCCAGCCCCAGGTTCTGTGTTAAAAAGGAAAAATGTGGGGGAAAAAATAACCTCAGTTTCAAGGGAAAAGGGGAAAATGAGCTAGGCCAGGTGATGGATGATCCTTCTCCAGCAGGCAGTGATCAGCTTGGCTTGAGTCTTTGCACAACTGAGGGTCCCTCCTGGCTCCCAGAGCTCTGTTGGACCAGCTCAGCCTTCAAAGTCTCCATATTGGTGTCTATAAAAAGCCTGAAATCAGATTGGAAGATTTGGGCAAGGTTTAAACAGGCCAGAGCTCCTGTGGAGTGGGGCAGTGAATTAATCACCTGCAGTAATTAAAGGCTGCTCTCTGCTCCCTGCCAGTGCCATGTGCTTGGGAAAGGGGGAATAAGGGATCAAACACTGCTCTGAACTGGAGATTTTTGCATTGTCCCTTGGCACAGAGGAAACCCTGGGAGCCAGGGAAATGCCAGGTCACAGCTGGAAGGTGGCACCTGCTTTACTGGGGAGCTTTGTGTCCTCTGAGAGCCAGGCCCTGCCCAGAGCAGCTGCCAGGGACAAGAGGGAAAAAAAGGATTCTCTTTTTTTTTTTCTGGCATTTTGTTTCTTCCTGCTGAAGACTGGGTAGAAATATCAGCTTTTCTAAATGCAGCAGTTCCTGCACATGACTGGGGGGAAGCTGCTTCCTGAGGATCCCCTTGGCCAGTTCACAGGGGCTGCACACACACAAATCTCCTCTTCCCCTTTTTTAGCTTAATGGAGCTTTTCTGCAGACCATGGAGTCCAGCCTGTGCCTGATGCCCACCCTGACCCCAGCCCAGGGCACTCAGTGCCACATCCAGGTGACACCTGCAGGGATGGGCACTTCAAACCTCCCTGGGCAGCCCCTGCCAAGGCCTGAGCACCCTTTCCATGGGGAAATTCCTCCTGGTGCCCACCCTGAGCCTGCCCTGGCCCAGCCTGAGGCCATTTCCCCTTGTCCTGTCCCTGTTCCCTGGCAGCAGAGCCCGACCCCCCCTGGCTGTCCCCTCCTGTCAGGGAGTTGTGCAGAGCCACAAGGTCCCCCCTGAGCCTCCTTTTCTCCAGGCTGAGCCCCTTCCCAGCTCCCTCAGCCTCTCCTGGGGCTCCATTCCCTCCCCAGCTCCCTCAGCCTCTCCTGGGGCTCCATTCCCTTCCCAGCTCCCTCAGCCTCCGCTGGGGCTCCATTCCCTTCCCAGCTCCGTTCCCTGCCCTGGACACGCTCCAGCCCCTCCAGGTCTCTCCTGGCAGGAGGGGCCCAGAGCTGCCCCCAGCACTGGAGGTGCCCCAGCAGTGCCAGCACAGGGGACGGGCACTGCCCTGGCCCTGCTGCCACCCCAGAGCTGGCACAGCCCAGGGGCCAGTGGCCAATTCCCAGTGCCCTTTGCTGAGCAGTGGCACTGGCTGGGCTTTGGGACAGAGCCTGGCACCTCTGGCAGCTCTGTTGCTCTGGAGCAGGAGTGTTTGGGCAGCTGGCAGTGTCTGTGTGACACTGAGCTGCCACCAGCACGTCACACAGCAGTGGTGGCACCAGCTCCGTGTAAATCCAATGGAACATGGTTGTCATGAATGCTCTGAATTTGTTTGAATTTCCTGTCCTATGTAAAGTAGAAGCTTGATGTATAAACTACATTCTATAAATATACAGAGAAATGCAGAGTGTGGGGACATGAGGAGTCCTCAGAAGCATTGCTGGGGGTTGCAGGATCTGCCCTGAGTGACCCAAAACATCCAGGTGGGATCAGGCTCTGCTGCCAGGGAACAGGGACAGGACAAGGGGAAATGGCCTCAGGCTGGGCCAGGGCAGGCTCAGGGTGGACACCAGCAGGAATTTCTCCATGGAAAGGGTGCTCAGGCCTTGGCAGGAGCTGCCCAGGGAGGTTTGGAGTGCCCATCCCTGCAGGTGTCACCTGGATGTGGCACTGAGTGCCCTGGGCTGGGGACATGGTGGGGATCTGTCACAGCTGGGACTCCATGGGCTGGGAGGGCTTTCCCAGCCTCAGGGATCCTGGTGTTTCTGGCATTTCTCCTGCACTGGCTGCTCAGAGCAGCTTTGCCCCTCAGCAGCAGCAGAGTCCTGACCTGCAGTGACCCCCCCAGCCCAGACTCCTTCCCCTCTGAAGGACTCTGAGCAATAATAACAACTCAGTTTTTATTTGAACTGCTTCCCTTTCCGTGTGTGCAGTGATGTCATTCCCTGTTCCTGATCAGAATTCCTCTGAGCTCTGAGGGTTCCTCCTGAAGAGCTGCAGATTTCAGCTGGGCTCCTTGGCAAGGAATTCCTTCCAGTCAGATTTGTTTGTGTTTCTGTCCTTTGTGGGAAATGAAACCCTTCAAGGTGAAGAACAGCAATTAATGCTCCACACATCTCTGCCCTCACTGACCAGCTGGGCACACTCCCTGTGCCCTCTGCGTTTGTCATCTCCCAGCACAGGAGTTCAGAGAGCCATGGAATGGGTTGGGAGGGACCTCAGAGCCCACCCAGTGCCACCCCTGCCATGGCAGGGACACACTGCCACTGTCCCAGGGTGTCCCAATGTCCAGCCTGGCCTTGGGCACTGCCAGGGATCCAGGGGCAGCCCCAGCTGTGCCAGGGCCTGCCCACCCTGCCAGGGGAGAGTGAGTCAATGCCCAATGAATTATTCAATAGCTGAAGAATGAGTTAATAGTTAAAGAATGAGTTAATAGTTAAAGGATCAGTCAGTGATTAATGGATCAGTCAGTGGTTAAAGGATCAGTCAGTGGCTGATCCTCCCCTCTCAGAGCCTGGCCCACAGCAGCTCCCTGACTTCCAGAACCATCCCAGGGCTCACCCAGGGCTCCTGCTGGCTCTGGGATTTTCCCTCTCCTCCCTGGTGTTCCCGCAGCCAGGTGACATCTGTGCTGCTGTCCCCACCTGGGCTGGGACACTGCTGCTGGCTCAGAGCAGAGGGGTGCCAGGCAGGGAGGGGCAGGGCTGTGGGGAGGGGCTGTCCCTGCCTGTCCCTGTGCCCTGTCCTTGTCCCAGCAAGGGACAAAGGCTGTCCCTGCCTGTCCCTCTGCCCTGTCCTTGTCCCAGCAGGGCTGGTGGCAGCCCCAGGGCACAGAGAGTCTCTGAGACCTTCTGGGAGCCTCTGAAAGGCTCTGGACACTCTTGTGAGCCTCTGGGAGCTCCTGGGATCCTCTGAGACCTACTGGGTGCCAGTGGGAGCTCCTGGGAGCCTCTGGAAGCTTCAGAGAACCTCTGAGAACCTCTGGGAGCTCCTGGGAGCATCTGAGACCCTCTGGGGAGCCTCTGGGAACTTTTGGGAGCCCCTGGGAGCTTCTGGGATGTTCTGGGAGCCTCAGACAGCTTCTGGGAGCTTCTGAGAACCTCTGGGAGCTTCTGAGAGCCTTTGGGAGCCTCTGGGAGCTTCTGAGATGTTCTGGGAGCCTCTGAGAACCTCTGGGAACTTCAGAGAACCTCCGGGAGCTCCTGGGAGCTTCAGAGAGCCTCTGGGAGCTTCAGAGAGCTCCTGGGAGCCTCGGAGTGGAGAGATGTTCTGGGAGCCTCTGAGAACCTCTGGGAACTTCAGAGAACCTCTGGGAGCTCCTGGGAGCTTCAGAGATGTTCTGGGAGCCTCTGAGAACCTCTGGGAACTTCAGAGAACCTCTGGGAGCTCCTGGGAGCCTCTGGGAGCCATTGGGAGCTTCAGAGAGCCCCTGGGAGCCTCGGAGTGGAAGGTGTCCCTGCCACGGCAGGGGTGGCACTGGGTGGGCTCTGAGGTCCCTCCCCACCCAAACCTTTCCAGGATTCCCTGAGTTGCTGCCATTCTCTGAGGGACTCTCTGAGCTCAGGGACGGCAGCAGAGCTGCGTGGTGTCACGGGCAGCCAGGGTGGCTCTCCAAAGGAGAAGGGATTTTTCTGCAGAGCTGGGTGAAGGACAGAAGGATCTGCAGTGTTTCACTCTGCGGGCTGTGCCGCTTCCACGCGTGCCTTTTGCAGAGCAAACACACAAAAATTCTCTTTGGTGTCTTGTTATTCCAGGGCCAGTGGGGCACCTTCCCCTGCAGTGAGGGCAAGGAACCTCTCTGGGAGTTTGGGTTCTGCTGGAAAACAACCTCCAGCCCTCAGTGCTGGGTGGTGTGTGCTGGGATTCCTGCACCTCAGTGTCCCCAGTGTCGGGGTCCCAAGAAGCTCTCATGTCCTCATACACAGGTTCTTCTCCTTTTGATGGATCAAAATCCAACCACCAAACCCTTTTGGCATCTTCTAAGGTTTCCGAGCCCCCCCCTGGTGTCTCTGCACATCCACAGTGACGTGCTGAGATCCCACAGCCAGGAACGTGGTGGCCAAGGCTGGCCCAGGCCAGGAGCAGCTCTGTGTCACCACTGGGCTTTGCTCTCCTCTCCCTCGGTGTTGGCTGAAGCGTGGCCATGGGGAGCCTCCAAAAACTGCTCCTGTTGGGGATCTGGTGCCTTGGCAGGGCTGGACAGAGCTAAAGGATAAAGGGATTTATTCAAAGGAGATCCTCAATGGATCCACCTTGGGCCCAGCCAAGGTTGTACAGTTATTAAATTTATATATTTATTTATATTTATATTTTTATACGTATATTTATATTTATATTTATATTTTCATTCACTACTCATATTCACAGTTTAATTATCTTTCACAGCCACACTTCCATTTTCCACACCTACAAACCACATTTATTTCTATTATTTCTTCTCCCTCCACCTCTGCACCATTTCTCCTTACTCCGAGCCGTGTGACATTCCCGTTTCCCTCCCCAGTGCCGCCCCGCCTGGCCCCCGCGGGCTCCCCCCAGCCCGGCTGCCCCTCGCCCTCCGTCCCGGCCAAGGGCCTCTCCTCCTCCCAGAAGCACAGCAAGAAGGCCCTCAAGCAGGTCAGTGCCTCAGTTTCCCCGGAGTCAGTGCCTCAGTTTCCCCGGAGTCAGTGCCTCAGTTTCCCCAGAGTCAGTGCCTCAGTTTCCCCAGAGTCAGTGCCTCAGTTTCCCTGGAGTCAGTGCCTCAGTTTCCCCGGAGTCCCCCCCGCGGGGTGGTATCCCAGAGCTTCCCTCCCTCCCTCCTCCGTGCTCTTCTGCTCCTTGCCTTTTCCCCTGGAATTCGTTTTCCCCTAAAATCATACTTTTGAAATTATATTTTTAGAGAGAGAGTGAAATGTGATTTTTTTTTTTTTTTCCCCCCCCATTCTGGGAGGAGATCCCGCCGCTTCCCGGGAAGTGGGGTTGGTAAATTCAGCCTCTGGGGGGAAATGCAGGGACTCCATCCCCTGGTGGGCACAGATTCCCTCCCAGGGAATTCCGTGGGGCTGCGTGTCCACGTGGAGGGCAGGAATTCATTCTGTGGACAGAGAGTCTGGAGGAGGAGGAAGGAAAGAGGGCAGGAATTCCATGGCCAGGAGGAGGAAGGAGGGCAGGAATTATATGGATAGAGTCTGGAAGTGAAGGAAGGAGGGCAGGAATTCCATGGACAGAGAGTCTGGAGGAGAAGGAAGGAGAGCAGGAATTCCATGGAGAGAGAGTCTGGAAAAAAAGAAAGGAAGGAGAGCAGGAATTCCATGGGCAGAGAGTCTGGAGGAGAAGGAAGGAGAGCAGGAATTCCATGGGCAGGAGAAGGAAGGAGAGCAGGAATTCCATGGGCAGAGAGTCTGGAAAAAGAGGAAGGAAGGAAGGAAGGAAGGAAGGAAGGAAGGAAGGAAGGAAGGAAGGAAGGAAGGAAGGAAGGAAGGAATTCCATGATGAGGAATTCCAGCTGAATTATTCCCAGGTGTTCCCCCAGCTGCACTGCCCGGGCCCCAGGATCCTGAGGAAGGAAATGCTTTATCTGGCATCTCAGTCTCAAAACTGGGAAATCCCAAATCTCAAAAATCTAAAACTATCAGAAATCTCAGATATCTCAACATTAAAAATCCAAAAGTTCAAAATTGCAAAATCTCAAGATCCAGGATCTCAATATTTTGATCTCAAATCAGTCTCAAAATTGGGAAATCTGAAAAATCTGAAAAATCTCAAAATTTGAAATCTCAAAGTTTGAAATCTCAAAGTTTTGATCTCAAATCAAATCTCAAAATTGGGAAGCCTCAAAAATACAAAAAAAAAAATCTCAAAATTCAAAATCTCAATTTTGATCTTAAGTCAATCTCAAAATTGAGAATTGTCAAATTTTCTCCAACCAAAACCACTGTGCCAGGATTTTCTCCTTGGCACAGGGAGTGTGTCTGAGGAGGAAAGGGAAGGGAAGGGAAGGGAAGGGAAGGGAAGGAAAGGAAAGGAAAGGAAAGGAAAGGAAAGGAAAGGAAAGGAAAGGAAAGGAAAGGAAAGGAAAGGAAAGGAAAGGAAAGGAAAGGAAAGGAAAGGAAAGGAAAGGAAAGGAAAGGAAAGGAAAGGAAAGGAAAGGAAAGGAAAGGAAAGGAAAGGAAAGGAAAGGAAAGGAAAGGAAAGGAAAGGAAAGGAAAGGAAAGGAAAGGAAAGGAAAGGAAAGGAAAGGAAAGGAAAGGAAAGGAAAGGAAAGGAAAGGAAAGGAAAGGAAAGGAAAGGAAAGGAAAGGAAAGGAAAGGAAAGGAAAGGAAAGGAAAGGAAAGGAAAGGAAAGGAAAGGAAAGGAAAGGAAAGGAAAGGAAAGGAAAGGAAAGGAAAGGAAAGGAAAGGAAAGGAAAGGAAAGGAAAGGAAAGGAAAGGAAAGGAAAGGAAAGGAAAAAGGGAAGGGAAAAAAATGGGAAAGGAAAATGGTTTCCCACTAATTGAGCAGGATATTAATGAATAATTACAGTCTCTGCATTCCCCAGCCCTCGTTAATCCTGGCTGGCAAATATTCCTGCGGGCTCTTCCCTTCAGGGGGTCAGGCTGGCACAGGGTGCCCACCCTGCATCCCTGGCAGTGCCCAGGGCCAGGCTGGGAGCAGCCTGGGATAGTGGGAGTGTCCTTGTCCATGGCAGGGACTTAGAAAAAGTAACTAAAAAGAGGAAATTGGGGTGGTGGGAAGGAGGGACAGGGCTGGAAAACACCACGCTGTGAGTGAAAATGGAATCAGAGGAGCTGCATGTCCTTAGTCCTCTCTGTGCCCTGGGTTATTGCTGGGGGCTGCTTGGGCTCAGCCCTCCCCTCTCCAGGAATTCCAACATTCCCAGAAGGAAGAGGGGCTGGATTTCTCAGGGAGAACCTGTAGGAATAGGAAAAACAGAAACTTCCACAGATAGCGAGGAATTTAATTTACAACCTTAAAAAAAACTTAATATAAAATTAAATAAAAATTAAAATTAAATAATTTATATAAAATATAATACACAGACATTAAGTAAAAAAGTAATAAACTTATGTTTCTGTAGTTGTAAGTAAGAATATACCTTGAGTAAATAGGAAACTATATTAAATAAGATAGAAGTTTATAATGCAGGGGGTGTGGCTATATAAAGTAAACCAAACATTTAGAAGTTATATAAGTGCAGGATATTATATGCAGGATGATATTATCCTGCACTTATATATATTATATATAACTGCAGGATATTATATATTAAGAACTGCATTTAAGACAAAAACCCATTAAACAAAAATATCCACAATACAGGAAAAGCAAGTAAAAATAATAAGTTTAAAAAACAAAATCAACCTCATAGCAACCGTCTGTTAATTTAAAAAATTATGTTTTACCTTATAACAAAGAACTTTTAACTACTCTTAAGCTCTAACCAACTACTCACTCCTCTAAAATCTCCCAAGTTCTAAAACTTAATATTTATCTGAACAATAAATTGCTCTCAACGTGGCAATAACCCCGGGGCTGCAGGTGCTGCTGGGAGTGGGGATGGTTCCAGGATGCAGGATTGGGTTCAACCACCCAGAGGGGTCACCTCCAGCCCTGGCTCCTTTTCCTGGGGGGCAGCAGCAGGGGGTGCCCAGTGCCAGGGAGCTCCTGCAGGGTGTTGGTGTTCAGCAGTGCCACTGTGTCCCCTGGCAGGTGTGGGGCTGATTTGGGGTTTCTGATCCTGATCCCAGTCCTGGTCCCATGTGTGCTGTGCCCTGTGGGTGGCTGATGGCTGATCCGTGATCCCTGTGCCCTGTGCCCTGTGGGTGGCTGATCCCTGTGGGGGGCTGATCCCTGATCCCTGTGCCTTGTGGGTGGCTGATCCCCGTGCCCTGTGGGCGGCTGATCCCTGATCCCTGTGCCTTGTGGGTGGCTGATCCCCGTGCCCTGTGGGCGGCTGATCCCTGATCCCTGTGCCTTGTGGGTGGCTGATCCCCGTGCCCTGTGGGCGGCTGATCCCTGATCCCTGTGCCTTGTGGGTGGCTGATCCCCGTGCCCTGTGGGCGGCTGATCCCTGATCCCTGTGCCTTGTGGGTGGCTGATCCCCGTGCCCTGTGGGCGGCTGATCCCTGATCCCTGTGCCTTGTGGGTGGCTGATCCCCGTGCCCTGTGGGCGGCTGATCCCTGATCCCTGTGCCTTGTGGGTGGCTGATCCCCGTGCCCTGTGGGCGGCTGATCCCTGATCCCTGTGCCTTGTGGGTGGCTGATCCCCGTGCCCTGTGGGCGGCTGATCCCTGATCCCTGTGCCTTGTGGGTGGCTGATCCCCGTGCCCTGTGGGCGGCTGATCCCTGATCCCTGTGCCTTGTGGGTGGCTGATCCCCGTGCCCTGTGGGCGGCTGATCCCTGATCCCTGTGCCTTGTGGGTGGCTGATCCCCGTGCCCTGTGGGCGGCTGATCCCTGATCCCTGTGCCTTGTGGGTGGCTGATCCCCGTGCCCTGTGGGCGGCTGATCCCTGATCCCTGTGCCTTGTGGGTGGCTGATCCCCGTGCCCTGTGGGCGGCTGATCCCTGATCCCTGTGCCTTGTGGGTGGCTGATCCCCGTGCCCTGTGGGCGGCTGATCCCTGATCCCTGTGCCTTGTGGGTGGCTGATCCCCGTGCCCTGTGGGCGGCTGATCCCTGATCCCTGTGCCTTGTGGGTGGCTGATCCCCGTGCCCTGTGGGCGGCTGATCCCTGATCCCTGTGCCTTGTGGGTGGCTGATCCCCGTGCCCTGTGGGCGGCTGATCCCTGATCCCTGTGCCTTGTGGGTGGCTGATCCCCGTGCCCTGTGGGCGGCTGATCCCTGATCCCTGTGCCTTGTGGGTGGCTGATCCCCGTGCCCTGTGGGCGGCTGATCCCTGATCCCTGTGCCTTGTGGGTGGCTGATCCCCGTGCCCTGTGGGCGGCTGATCCCTGATCCCTGTGCCTTGTGGGTGGCTGATCCCCGTGCCCTGTGGGCGGCTGATCCCTGATCCCTGATGCCTGCGGATCCCTGACCCCTGTGGGTGGCTGACCCCGTGCCCTGTGTCCCTGCAGGCCCTGAAGCAGCAGCAGCAGAAGCAGCAGCAGCAGCAGCAGCAGCAGTGCAGGGCGGGCATGGGGCCGGGCATGGCCCTGCCCTCCAGCCAGCACGTCCTGCTCAAGGCCAAGGCCACACCTGGGAGGTCAGGTACGTGGGGGCACCTGGGGAGGGGAAACTGCTCCTTGCTGCAGCTGCCTTTGGGCTTGGGGCACCAGCAGCTCCTGCCTCGGGGCTTGGGGCTGTGAGGGAGGCAGCTGGTAAGGACAGACCTTGGAGAGACCTGGAATGGATCTTGGATCATCTTGGATAGCTCTGACTGTAAGGACAGACCTTGGAGAGACCTGGAATGGATCTTGGAGGGATCTTGGATGACCTTGGATAGCTCTGACTGTAAGGACAGACCTTGGAGTGACCTTGGAGAGACCTGAGATGGATCTTGGAGGAATCTTGGATGATCTTGGATAGCTCTGACTGTAAGGACTGACCTTGGAGGGATCTTGGAGAGACCTGAGATGGATCTTGGAGGGATGTTGGGTGATCTTGGATGATCTTGGATAGCTCTGACTGTAAGGACAGACCTTGGAGAGACCTGGAATGGATCTTGGGTGGATCTTGGGTGATCTTGGATATCTCTGACTGTAAGGACAGACCTTGGATGGATTTTGGAGGGATCTTGGATAGTCTTGGCTGGATCTTGGATGATCTTGGATAGCTCTGACTGTAAGGACAGACTTGGAGCGACCTTGGATGATCTTGGATGGATTTTGGATGGATCTAGGATAGCTCTGGCTGTGTCTTTGGCTGGTTCAGAGCTGCTCCCAGTGCTCAGTGATGTTCCCAGTCACCTGTACCCCATGCAGGGACCTTCTCCTGGTGCTTCTGTTTGAGGATTTCTCCTGGTTATTTCTATTTGGGGTTCTCCTGCTGTTTATGTTTGTGGATTTCTCCCAGTGTTTATGTTCTGGGAATTCTCCTGGTATTTAAATTTGGGAGTTTCTCCTGGTGTTTATATTTGGGAGTTTCTCCTGGTGTTTATATTTGGGAGGTTCTCTTGGTGTTTATGTTCTGGGATTCCTCCTGGTGTTTTTATTTGGGAGTTTCTCCTGGTGTTGATGTTCTGGGATTTCTCCTGGTGTTTATATTTGGGAGTTTCTCCTGGTGTTTATGTTCTAGGATTCCTCCTGGTGTTTATATTTGGGAGTTTCTCCTGGTGTTTATGTTCTGGGAATTCTCCTGGTGTTTAAATTTGGAAGTTTCTCCTGGTGTTTATGTTCTGGGATTCCTCCTGGTGTTTATATTTGGAAGTTTCTCCTGGTGTTTATGTTCTAGGATTCCTCCTGGTGTTTATATTTGGGAGTTTCTCCTGGTGTTGATGTTCTGGGATTTCTCCTGGTGTTCATATTTGGGAGTTTCTCCAGTTATTTATATTTGGGAGTTTCTCCCGGTGTTTATGTTTGGGAGTTTCTCCTGGTGTTTATATTTGGGAGTTTTTCCTGGTGTGTCTGTTTGAGAGTTTCTCCTGGTATTTAAATTTGGGAGTTTCTCCTGGTGTTTATATTTGGGAGTTTCTCCTGGTGTTTATGTTCTAGGATTCCTCCTGGTGTTTATATTTGGAAGTTTCTCCTGGTGTTTATGTTCTAGGATTCCTCCTGGTGTTTATATTTGGAAGTTTCTCCTGGTGTTTATGTTCTGGGATTCCTCCTGGTGTTTATATTTGGAAGTTTCTCCTGGTGTTTATGTTCTAGGATTCCTCCTGGTGTTTATATTTGGGAGTTTCTCCTGGTGTTGATGTTCTGGGATTTCTCCTGGTGTTCATATTTGGGAGTTTCTCCAGTTATTTATATTTGGGAGTTTCTCCCGGTGTTTATGTTTGGGAGTTTCTCCTGGTGTTGATGTTCTGGGATTTCTCCTGGTGTTCATATTTGGGAGTTTCTCCCGTTATTTATATTTGGGAGTTTCTCCTGGTGTTTCTGTTTGGGAGTTTCTCCTGGTGTTTAAATTTGGAAGTTTCTCCTGGTGTTTATGTTCTGGGATTCCTCCTGGTGTTTATATTTGGAAGTTTCTCCTGGTGTTTCTGTTTGGGAGTTTCTCCTGGTGTTTCTGTTTGGGAGTTTCTCCTGGTATTGATGTTTTCCCAAGTGGCTCCTCATCCTGCAGGGTGGGTTCCACATCCTGTTCCCCTCTGGAAGATCCCAGAGGGGTTTCCAGAATTTGTGGTGTCAGGGAGCAGTGAGCTCACTGCTCTGCTCTGGCTGCTCCAGCAGGGCAGGAGCTCCCTGCCAGCACCAGATTCTCCATGGTATCCCAAATTCTTGGTAGTTATTCCAGCCAGTTTTCCCTGATTTCTTTCCAGAGTGACTGAGCAGGAATTCACATCTGCTTATCCCTGCCACAGCACCGGGCACAGGAACTCCCTGCTGCCCATTCCCTGGCACCTGTGGAATTCCCTTGTATCTCTGGAATTCCCTGGCACCTGCCCAATTCCCTGGCACCTGTGGAATTCCCTGGCACCTCTGGAATTTCCTGGCACCTGCCGGGTTCCCTGGCACCTGTGGAATTCCCTTGTATCTCTGGAATTCCCTGGCACTTGCCCAATTCCCTGGCACCTGTGGAATTCCCTGGCACCTCTGCAATTCCCTGGTACCTGCCCAGTTCCCTGGCACCTGCTGGGTTCCCTGGCACCTGTGGAATCCCCTGGCATCTCTGGAATTCCCTGGCACCTGCCCAAATCCCTGGCACCTCTGCAATTCCCTGGCACCTCTGGAATTCCATGGCACCTGTGGAATCCCCTGGCACCTATGGAATTCCCTGGCTTGGGGCCAGCTCAGTGCCCCAGACAATCCCTGGCAGGGCTCAGCATTCCAGCTCCATTCCCTGCAGGCAGCTGGGCTGTGGGCACACATCCAGCTTGTGCCAGTCCTCTCCAAGGCAGGGCATTCCCAGTGTGCCCATTCCAAGGGAGGGCATTCCCAGTGTCCCCATTCCAAGGGCGGGCATTCCCAGTGTCCCCCTTCCAGTGTCCCCATTCCAAGGGCGGGCATTCCCAGTGTCCCCCTTCCAGTGTCCCCATTCCAAGGGCGGGCATTCCCAGTGTCCCCCTTCCAGTGTCCCCATTCCAAGGGCGGGCATTCCCAGTGTCCCCCTTCCAGTGTCCCCATTCCAAGGGCGGGCATTCCCAGTGTCCCCCTTCCAGTGTCCCCATTCCAAGGGCGGGCATTCCCAGTGTCCCCCTTCCAGTGTCCCCATTCCAAGGGCGGGCATTCCCAGTGTCCCCCTTCCAGTGTCCCCATTCCAAGGGCGGGCATTCCCAGTGTCCCCCTTCCAGTGTCCCCATTCCAAGGGCGGGCATTCCCAGTGTCCCCCTTCCAGTGTCCCCATTCCAAGGGCGGGCATTCCCAGTGTCCCCCTTCCAGTGTCCCCATTCCAAGGGCGGGCATTCCCAGTGTCCCCCTTCCAGTGTCCCCATTCCAAGGGCGGGCATTCCCAGTGTCCCCCTTCCAGTGTCCCCATTCCAAGGGCGGGCATTCCCAGTGTCCCCCTTCCAGTGTCCCCATTCCAAGGGCGGGCATTCCCAGTGTCCCCCTTCCAGTGTCCCCATTCCAAGGGCGGGCATTCCCAGTGTCCCCCTTCCAGTGTCCCCATTCCAAGGGCGGGCATTCCCAGTGTCCCCCTTCCAGTGTCCCCATTCCAAGGGCGGGCATTCCCAGTGTCCCCCTTCCAGTGTCCCCATTCCAAGGGCGGGCATTCCCAGTGTCCCCCTTCCAGTGTCCCCATTCCAAGGGCGGGCATTCCCAGTGTCCCCCTTCCAGTGTCCCCATTCCAAGGGCGGGCATTCCCAGTGTCCCCCTTCCAGTGTCCCCATTCCAAGGGCGGGCATTCCCAGTGTCCCCCTTCCAGTGTCCCCATTCCAAGGGCGGGCATTCCCAGTGTCCCCCTTCCAGTGTCCCCATTCCAAGGGCGGGCATTCCCAGTGTCCCCCTTCCAGTGTCCCCATTCCAAGGGCGGGCATTCCCAGTGTCCCCCTTCCAGTGTCCCCATTCCAAGGGCGGGCATTCCCAGTGTCCCCCTTCCAGTGTCCCCATTCCAAGGGCGGGCATTCCCAGTGTCCCCCTTCCAGTGTCCCCATTCCAAGGGCGGGCATTCCCAGTGTCCCCCTTCCAGTGTCCCCATTCCAAGGGCGGGCATTCCCAGTGTCCCCCTTCCAGTGTCCCCATTCCAAGGGCGGGCATTCCCAGTGTCCCCCTTCCAGTGTCCCCATTCCAAGGGCGGGCATTCCCAGTGTCCCCATTCCAAGGCACAGGGGCATTCCCAGTGTCCCCATTCCAAGGCAGGGCATTCCCAGTGTCCCCACTCCAGTCCCAGTGCCAGCATCACAAACATCAGTGTTTGCATTTCCTGGGAGAGTTGTGGGACTGTTCTGGGCAGGGCAGGGCAGGGATTTTCCAGGAGCCCTGGGAGTGCCCAGGAGCTGCCCTGAGCCCCAGCCTGTCCTGGGGCTCATTCCTGGTGACAGTCTCTCCTGCCTGCTCAGAGGTGCCAAGGCCAGGGAGTTTTGCCCGTCCTGCTGTGCAACTCCAGCCTTAGGATGCTTTCCCCAGGCTCAGTCAGGAGCTTTTCCTGCTCCCAGGTTTTTCCTGCTCCCAGGTTTTTCCTGGAGCTCTTCCTCAGCTGGTTCCAGGTGGGATTGGTGTGTTCAGGAGCCCCCCCCTAGGCTGTAAATCCCTCCCTGCCAAGGCCTGGAAGGTTCCTCCTGTGTGGTTTTCTCCCTTGTCCCCCACCCTGCCCAGGGACAGCTCCCAGCAGGGACACCCAGAGGTGTGGAGAGAGCAGGGAATCACATGGATGGAGGGAGAGAACAACATTCTGGTGGAAAGCAGGGCACTGATTGCACAATTTCAGGGATTTATTCAGAGCTGGAAGAGCTTGTGTGAGGGAGGGAAGGGAAACTGAGCCCTGGGAAGGGGAGGAGGAGTTCCCCAGGGTGAGCAAGGACAAAAGCTGCAGGAGAGGGGTGAAGTTTAGCAAGGACAGGGGAGGTGTGGAGAGATTTCCCTGCCAGTGAGCTCTGCCAGGAGCTCTCTTAGCCCTGGAAGTGTCAATGGGACCATGCCTGGGTCAGATTAGATGGGAAATAAACTGGGATTAACTGGGAAATGGACTCAAAGCACATGGGATGTGCCTGTCCATGCCTTTGGTTTTTGGTGGCTCCACGGGATCTCCTGCATTGAGCTGCTGGGCAGGAGCCCTCCAGGAGCTCAGGGATCTGTGCTGGCATTGCTGGAGCTGCAGGGTGGCTCTGGGGCAGGGAGGAGCTCCATCCCTGCATTCATCTGCTGGGCAGGAGCCCCCCAGGAGCTCAGGGATCTGTGCTGGCATTGCTGGAGCTGCAGGGTGGCTCTGGGGCAGGGAGGAGCTCCATCCCTGCATTCATCTGCTGGGCAGGAGCCCCCCAGGAGCTCAGGGATCTGTGCTGGCATTGCTGGAGCTGCAGGGTGGCTCTGGGGCAGGGAGGAGCTCCATCCCTGCATTCATCTGCTGGGCAGGAGCCCCCCAGGAGCTCAGGGATCTGTGCTGGCATTGCTGGAGCTGCAGGGTGGCTCTGGGGCAGGGAGGAGCTCCATCCCTGCATTCATCTGCTGGGCAGGAGCCCCCCAGGAGCTCAGGGATCTGTGCTGGCATTGCTGGAGCTGCAGGGTGGCTCTGGGGCAGGGAGGAGCTCCATCCCTGCATTCATCTGCTGGGCAGGAGCCCCCCAGGAGCTCAGGGATCTGTGCTGGCATTGCTGGAGCTGCAGGGTGGCTCTGGGGCAGGGAGGAGCTCCATCCCTGCATTCATCTGCTGGGCAGGAGCCCCCCAGGAGCTCAGGGATCTGTGCTGGCATTGCTGGAGCTGCAGGGTGGCTCTGGGGCAGGGAGGAGCTCCATCCCTGCATTCATCTGCTGGGCAGGAGCCCCCCAGGAGCTCAGGGATCTGTGCTGGCATTGCTGGAGCTGCAGGGTGGCTCTGGGGCAGGGAGGAGCTCCATCCCTGCATTCATCTGCTGGGCAGGAGCCCCCCAGGAGCTCAGGGATCTGTGCTGGCATTGCTGGAGCTGCAGGGTGGCTCTGGGGCAGGGAGGAGCTCCATCCCTGCATTCATCTGCTGGGCAGGAGCCCCCCAGGAGCTCAGGGATCTGTGCTGGCATTGCTGGAGCTGCAGGGTGGCTCTGGGGCAGGGAGGAGCTCCATCCCTGCATTCATCTGCTGGGCAGGAGCCCCCCAGGAGCTCAGGGATCTGTGCTGGCATTGCTGGAGCTGCAGGGTGGCTCTGGGGCAGGGAGGAGCTCCATCCCTGCATTCATCTGCTGGGCAGGAGCCCCCCAGGAGCTCAGGGATCTGTGCTGGCATTGCTGGAGCTGCAGGGTGGCTCTGGGGCAGGGAGGAGCTCCATCCCTGCATTCATCTGCTGGGCAGGAGCCCCCCAGGAGCTCAGGGATCTGTGCTGGCATTGCTGGAGCTGCAGGGTGGCTCTGGGGCAGGGAGGAGCTCCATCCCTGCATTCATCTGCTGGGCAGGAGCCCCCCAGGAGCTCAGGGATCTGTGCTGGCATTGCTGGAGCTGCAGGGTGGCTCTGGGGCAGGGAGGAGCTCCATCCCTGCATTCATCTGCTGGGCAGGAGCCCCCCAGGAGCTCAGGGATCTGTGCTGGCATTGCTGGAGCTGCAGGGTGGCTCTGGGGCAGGGAGGAGCTCCATCCCTGCATTCATCTGCTGGGCAGGAGCCCCCCAGGAGCTCAGGGATCTGTGCTGGCATTGCTGGAGCTGCAGGGTGGCTCTGGGGCAGGGAGGAGCTCCATCCCTGCATTCATCTGCTGGGCAGGAGCCCCCCAGGAGCTCAGGGATCTGTGCTGGCATTGCTGGAGCTGCAGGGTGGCTCTGGGGCAGGGAGGAGCTCCATCCCTGCATTCATCTGCTGGGCAGGAGCCCCCCAGGAGCTCAGGGATCTGTGCTGGCATTGCTGGAGCTGCAGGGTGGCTCTGGGGCAGGGAGGAGCTCCATCCCTGCATTCATCTGCTGGGCAGGAGCCCCCCAGGAGCTCAGGGATCTGTGCTGGCATTGCTGGAGCTGCAGGGTGGCTCTGGGGCAGGGAGGAGCTCCATCCCTGCATTCATCTGCTGGGCAGGAGCCCCCCAGGAGCTCAGGGATCTGTGCTGGCATTGCTGGAGCTGCAGGGTGGCTCTGGGGCAGGGAGGAGCTCCATCCCTGCATTCATCTGCTGGGCAGGAGCCCCCCAGGAGCTCAGGGATCTGTGCTGGCATTGCTGGAGCTGCAGGGTGGCTCTGGGGCAGGGAGGAGCTCCATCCCTGCATTCATCTGCTGGGCAGGAGCCCCCCAGGAGCTCAGGGATCTGTGCTGGCATTGCTGGAGCTGCAGGGTGGCTCTGGGGCAGGGAGGAGCTCCATCCCTGCAGGAGGATCCTCGTGCAGGTTCCCTCTGTGCATGCCTGTGTTCATGTGTCCCTTTCTGGCAGGTTGGGAAGGGAAGCAGGCAGATGGACACTCCAGCAGCCCCCCAAACTCCACGTCCAGCTCCTCGCCCTCGGTGAAGCTCGAGAACTCGCTGCCAGGGCTGCCCAAGAAGCCCTTCCCCAGATCTGACAGGCTCCATGCACGTAAGAGATGGATTCCCTGCTTCTCCTGCTTCCCCAGGGCTTTTTCCTCCAGTGCCAGGGCAAAACCTAAACCAGCAAAAGGGAGTGAAGGGTGCAGATTGCATTGCTGAGGGACCCTGGGAGGGGCTGCCAGTCTGCTGGAATTGGGATAAATGATTCATAATGCCTCAGAGCTGCACCTCTCCTGGGAGTTCCCAGCTGTTGTTCCCTGCATTATTTATTATTTAATGTACTTACACATTCTAAGAACATGAAAAAGGAAAAGAAATTCCTGCCTGGGTCTCCATCCCTCAGATCCTGCTGGATTTGGCTCCCAGCCCTTTACTGGAGCTTTCTCAGCCCTCCAGACCTTCCTGGTTCCTGTTACATTCTCCAAGGGTGGGATTGACCCTGGGGAATTTAAGGATATTCTTACAAAGGAATGGAATATCCTGAGGGGGAGAAACCCCCAAGGATCATGGAATGCAGCTCCTGGTGCTGGCCAGGTGATCCCAGGAATCCCACTCTGGCTGTCCAAAGGCTCCTGGAGCTCTGGCAGGGTTGGGAATGTGCCCATTCCATGGGGCAGTGCCCAGCAGCCTCTGGGGAAGATCCTTTCCTGAGATCCATCCCAAATGCCCTGGCCCAGCTCCAGCTGCTCCCTCACTCTGAGGTCTCTCTCTGTGGACAACAGGCACTTGCACAGAGCAGCAGAGTCCAAAAGAAATCCCCAGCAACAAACTGGCCTTGACTGGAGACTTAAACCAGACAACTGCTGTGACCAAAAGGAGCTGTAGGAACCCTCCTGAGAAGCCAGGGTGCCAAGGGAGGTGGGCTGAGGGGGGGTGCAGAGTTCTGTGCCTGGATCTCCCAGCTCTGTTGGTGAGACATGGAGTCAGAGAGTTACCCTGAGCTAGAAATCAGTTTCAGCTTTAGATCAAGGGGGCTGGTTTAACTTGTTTAGTGCAGAGCTTGCTGAGCCAGGTCTGTGCTCGTGGGGAGGTGACAACAGCCCCAGTCCTGGGCTTGAGGGGGACAGGGGACAGCAGGACAGCGTGGAGGGGACGTGTGCAAGAGCAGGAGCTCAGTGCCCTCCAGCTGCTGTGAACTTGTCTGGGGGAACCAATCCATGGATTCACCAGACCTTCACAGGGTTCTTTGGGGTGATGCCTTGGCAAGGCTGCCCTGGAGCAGAGGCTGGACAGAGCTCAAGAACAGAGGAGGGATTTATGGAGAGGATCTCCTCCATGGATCCACCTTGGGCAGCACAAGAGCCCAGCCAGGGCTGCACCCAAAGTGAACCCAAAATAGTCACAAACAAATTGATGCCCGCTCACGAGCTCTCACACCTGAGGCCTCAGGGAGACCCCAGTTTGACAGAGGATTTTTACCTGTGTGCAGAGGTGAAACAAGGCCTGGGACAGCTCCCAGGTGACACCCCACAGGGCAGGGCAGGCCAGGTGAGGCTGACCAGGTGTGTGCTCCCCCAGGGCAGCTGAAGAGAGCGCGCTGTGCCGAGATCGACGTGGAGACGCCGGACTCCATCCTGGTGAACACCAACCTGCGGGCCCTGATCAACAAGCACACCTTCAGCCTGCTGCCCCCCGAGTGCCAGCAGCGCCTGCTGCTGCTGCTGCCCGACGTGGACAGACAGGTATGGCTCACCTGGGCTGGGCAGGTACAGAACTCACCTGGGCTGTGCAGGTACGGCCCACCTGGGCTGGGCTGGGTGGGTACGGCTCACCTGGGCTGGGCAGGTACAGAACTCACCTGGGCTGGGCAGGTACAGCTCACCTGGGCTGGGCTGGGCAGGTACAGAACTCACCTGGGCTGGGCTGGGCAGGTACAGCTTCACTGGGCTGGGCTGGGTGGGTACGGCTCACCTGGGCTGGGCAGGTACAGAACTCACCTGGGATGTCTCAGGTACAGCACTCACCTGGGCTGGACTGTCCCAGGTACAGCACTCACCTGGGCTGCCCTGCCCCACAGGGCTCTGGGGCAGGCAGGGAGGGATGCCAGGTGGAGATCCTGTTCCCCCTGTGGTACCTGGGGGCAGAGGGGCACGAGGGCAGGGGAAAGCCAATCCACCTTAGGGTGATCTCATGGTCACCTAATAATAATAATAATAATAATAATTGTCACCTGATAATCATTGTCATTGTTCAGGACCTTCCAGGACCTGAAGGGGCTCCAGGAGAGCTGCAGAGGGACTGGGGACAAGGCCTGCAGGGACAGGAGCCAGGGAATGGCTCCCACTGCCAGAGGGCAGGGCTGGATGGGAGATTGGGAATTGGGAATTGTTCCCTGGCAGGGTGGGCAGGCCCTGGCACAGCTGGGGCTGCCCCTGCATCCCTGGCAGTGCCCGAGGCCAGGCTGGACACTGGGACACCCTGGGACAGTGGAAGAGTTCCCAAATCCTCCAGAATTGTTGGGAGAAACAGCACCATGATTTTAGTGTGCCCCTCTGAAACAGCAGCACACGTTTTTAGTGTGCCCCTCTGAGGCTTTGCTTTGTCCAGCTGTGGGACAAAATCCTGGTCCCCACAGGGCTGGACACTAAAGCTGCTCCCCTGCTCCAGCTGCGGCCCAGCACACCAGGGCTGTGGCCAGCAGGTGACAGGGCTGTGGCTAGCAGGTGACATTGGGCTGTGGCAAACAGCACACGTTTTTAGTGTGCCCCTCTGAGGCTTTGCTTTGTCCAGCTGTGGGACAAAATCCTGGTCCCCACAGGGCTGGACACTAAAGCTGCTCCCCTGCTCCAGCTGTGACCCAGCACACCAGGGCTGTGGGCAGCAGGTGACAGGGCTGTGGCCAGGGGCTGTGGCCAGCAGATGACATGGGGCTGTGGCCAGCAGGTGTCAGGGCTGTGGCTAGCAGGTGACATTGGGCTGTGGTGATGAGCTCTGGCCAGCAGGTGACCAGGCTGTGGGCAGCAGGTGACATTGGGCTGTGGCTAGCAGGTGGCCAACAGGTGGCAGGGCTGTGGCTAGCAGGTGACAGGGCTGTGGCCAGCAGGTGACAGGGCTGTGGGCAGCGGGTGACAGGGCTGTGTCCAGCAGGTGACAGGGCTGTGTGGGCTGGGCAGGTACAGAACTCACCTGGGCTGGGCTGGGCAGGTACAGCTTCACTGGGCTGGGCTGGGTGGGTACGGCTCACCTGGGCTGGGCAGGTACAGAACTCACCTGGGCTGGGCTGGGCAGGTACAGCTTCACTGGGCTGGGCTGGGTGGGTACGGCTCACCTGGGCTGGGCAGGTACAGAACTCACCTGGGCTGGGCTGGGCAGGTACAGCTTCACTGGGCTGGGCTGGGTGGGTACGGCTCACCTGGGCTGGGCAGGTACAGAACTCACCTGGGCTGGGCTGGGCAGGTACAGCTTCACTGGGCTGGGCTGGGTGGGTACGGCTCACCTGGGCTGGGCAGGTACAGAACTCACCTGGGCTGGGCTGGGCAGGTACAGCTTCACTGGGCTGGGCTGGGTGGGTACGGCTCACCTGGGCTGGGCAGGTACAGAACTCACCTGGGCTGGGCTGGGCAGGTACAGCTTCACTGGGCTGGGCTGGGTGGGTACGGCTCACCTGGGCTGGGCAGGTACAGAACTCACCTGGGCTGGGCTGGGCAGGTACAGCTTCACTGGGCTGGGCTGGGTGGGTACGGCTCACCTGGGCTGGGCAGGTACAGAACTCACCTGGGCTGGGCTGGGCAGGTACAGCTTCACTGGGCTGGGCTGGGTGGGTACGGCTCACCTGGGCTGGGCAGGTACAGAACTCACCTGGGCTGGGCTGGGCAGGTACAGCTTCACTGGGCTGGGCTGGGTGGGTACGGCTCACCTGGGCTGGGCAGGTACAGAACTCACCTGGGCTGGGCTGGGCAGGTACAGCTTCACTGGGCTGGGCTGGGTGGGTACGGCTCACCTGGGCTGGGCAGGTACAGAACTCACCTGGGCTGGGCTGGGCAGGTACAGCTTCACTGGGCTGGGCTGGGTGGGTACGGCTCACCTGGGCTGGGCAGGTACAGAACTCACCTGGGCTGGGCTGGGCAGGTACAGCTTCACTGGGCTGGGCTGGGTGGGTACGGCTCACCTGGGCTGGGCAGGTACAGAACTCACCTGGGCTGGGCTGGGCAGGTACAGCTTCACTGGGCTGGGCTGGGTGGGTACGGCTCACCTGGGCTGGGCAGGTACAGAACTCACCTGGGCTGGGCTGGGCAGGTACAGCTTCACTGGGCTGGGCTGGGTGGGTACGGCTCACCTGGGCTGGGCAGGTACAGAACTCACCTGGGCTGGGCTGGGCAGGTACAGCTTCACTGGGCTGGGCTGGGTGGGTACGGCTCACCTGGGCTGGGCAGGTACAGAACTCACCTGGGATGTCTCAGGTACAGCACTCACCTGGGCTGGACTGTCCCAGGTACAGCACTCACCTGGGCTGCCCTGCCCCACAGGGCTCTGGGGCAGGCAGGGAGGGATGCCAGGTGGAGATCCTGTTCCCCCTGTGGTACCTGGGGGCAGAGGGGCACGAGGGCAGGGGAAAGCCAATCCACCTTAGGGTGATCTCATGGTCACCTAATAATAATAATAATAATAATAATAGTAATAATAATAATAATAATAATAATTGTCACCTGATAATCATTGTCATTGTTCAGGACCTTCCAGGACCTGAAGGGGCTCCAGGAGAGCTGCAGAGGGACTGGGGACAAGGCCTGCAGGGACAGGAGCCAGGGAATGGCTCCCACTGCCAGAGGGCAGGGCTGGATGGGAGATTGGGAATTGGGAATTGTTCCCTGGCAGGGTGGGCAGGCCCTGGCACAGCTGGGGCTGCCCCTGCATCCCTGGCAGTGCCCGAGGCCAGGCTGGACACTGGGACACCCTGGGACAGTGGAAGAGTTCCCAAATCCTCCAGAATTGTTGGGAGAAACAGCACCATGATTTTAGTGTGCCCCTCTGAAACAGCAGCACACATTTTTAGTGTGCCCCTCTGAGGCTTTGCTTTGTCCAGCTGTGGGACAAAATCCTGGTCCCCACAGGGCTGGACACTAAAGCTGCTCCCCTGCTCCAGCTGTGACCCAGCACACCAGGGCTGTGGGCAGCAGGTGACATTGGGCTGTGTCCAGCAGGTGGCCAACAGGTGACAGGGCTGTGGCCAGCAGATGACATGGGGCTGTGGCCAGCAGGTGTCAGGGCTGTGGCTAGCAGGTGACATTGGGCTGTGGCAAACAGGTGACAGGGCTGTGGCCAGGGCTGTGGCCAGGGGCTGTGGGCAGTAGGTGAGAACGGCTGTGGCCACGAGCTCTGGCAGGTGACAGGGCTGTGAGCTGCAGGTGACATTGAGCTGTGGCCAGGGCTGTAGCCAGCAGGTGACATGGGGCTGTAGCCATGAGCTCTGGCCAGCAGGTGACAGGGCTGTGGCCAGCAGGTGACAGGGCTGTGGCTAGCAGGTGACGGGGCTGTGGCCAGGGGCTGTGACCAGCGGGTGACAGGGCTGTGGCCAGGGGCTGTGGCCAGCAGGTGACAGGGCTGTGGCCAGTGGGTGACAGGGCTGTGGGCAGCAGGTGACAGGGCTGTGTCTCCCCAGGTGGGCCCCGATGGGCTGATGAAGCTCAGCAGCTCGGCGCTCAACAACGAGTTCTTCACCTCGGCTGCGCAGGGCTGGAAGGAGCGGCTGTCGGAAGGTAAAGCCTGCCCAGGACCCCCGGCTGGGGAGGGGCTGGGGGAGCCCCAGGACCCCCGGCTGGGGAGGGGCTGGGGGAGCCCCAGGACCCCCGGCTGGGGGAGCCCCAGGACCCCCAGCTGGGGAGGGGCTGGGGGAGCCCCAGGACCCCCGGCTGGGGAGGGGCTGGGGGAGCCCCAGGACCCCCGGCTGGGGAGGGGCTTGGGGAGCCTGCAGGGTGTCCCTGGAGAAGCTGCAGCTCTGCAGGGACTCACTGCCCACAGCTGGGGGGCTCAGGGTGGGAGGGGGCTGCAGGAGGAGTTCTGTGTTGAACTGACACAGCAAATCTCTGGAAGAGATGAGAAAAGGAGGAGAAACGTGTTTAAAATCTGAACTGACAGTAGAGCTGGGGCACTCTGGGGTTGTGGCACCTAAACACAGACACTGCTGGGGGGCAGAGAAGGGAAATTCTGTTCCAGAGCAAGGCATGGGGTGCTCAGTGCTTTGAGCCCTCCCTTTGGGTGTTTGGATGGGAAATTGGGGCTCCATTCCCTTCCCAGCTCTGTTCCCTGCACTGCCCCATTGCACTGGAGCAGCAGCCTGGGCTGCCAGAGCTCCTGGGACACCCACCTGGCCTGAGCCCCGTTAGCCAGCCCTTCCCTGGCTGAAATCCCTTCTGCATCCCCCAGGAGAGTTCACCCCCGAAATGCAGCTCCGGATCCGGCAGGAAATCGAGAAGGAGAAGAAGGTGGAGCTGTGGAAGGAGCACTTCTTTGAGAGCTACTATGGGCAGAGGTGAGAGCTCAGCTGGGTTCTGGGGTGGTCCATCCATGGATATTGGGTTCCCTGGAGCCTGAGGAAGGTTCCTGGCTTCAGCTGGTTCCAGGAAGCCAGGAAATGTCAGCGGGATCCAGCTCAGGTGGGAGGTTTGTCACCCCTCATCCAGTGCAGGGATCAGCTCAGGTGGGAGGTTTGTCACCCTTTGTCCAGTGCAGGGATCAGCTCAGGTGGGAGGTTTGTCACCCTTTGTCCAGTGCAGGGATCAGCTCAGGTGGGAGGTTTGTCACCCTTTGTCCAGTGCAGGGATCAGCTCAGGTGGGAGGTTTGTCACCCTTTGTCCAGTGCAGGGATCAGCTCAGGTGGGAGGTTTGTCACCCTTTGTCCAGTGCAGGGATCAGCTCAGGTGGGAGGTTTGTCACCCTTTGTCCAGTGCAGGGATCAGCTCAGGTGGGAGGTTTGTCACCCTTTGTCCAGTGCAGGGATCAGCTCAGGTGGGAGGTTTGTCACCCTTTGTCCAGTGCAGGGATCAGCTCAGGTGGGAGGTTTGTCACCCTTTGTCCAGTGCAGGGATCAGCTCAGGTGGGAGGTTTGTCACCCTTTGTCCAGTGCAGGGATCAGCTCAGGTGGGAGGTTTGTCACCCTTTGTCCAGTGCAGGGATCAGCTCAGGTGGGAGGTTTGTCACCCTTTGTCCAGTGCAGGGATCAGCTCAGGTGGGAGGTTTGTCACCCTTTGTCCAGTGCAGGGATCAGCTCAGGTGGGAGGTTTGTCACCCTTTGTCCAGTGCAGGGATCAGCTCAGGTGGGAGGTTTGTCACCCTTTGTCCAGTGCAGGGATCAGCTCAGGTGGGAGGTTTGTCACCCTTTGTCCAGTGCAGGGATCAGCTCAGGTGGGAGGTTTGTCACCCTTTGTCCAGTGCAGGGATCAGCTCAGGTGGGAGGTTTGTCACCCTTTGTCCAGTGCAGGGATCAGCTCAGGTGGGAGGTTTGTCACCCTTTGTCCAGTGCAGGGATCAGCTCAGGTGGGAGGTTTGTCACCCTTTGTCCAGTGCAGGGATCAGCTCAGGTGGGAGGTTTGTCACCCTTTGTCCAGTGCAGGGATCAGCTCAGGTGGGAGGTTTGTCACCCTTTGTCCAGTGCAGGGATCAGCTCAGGTGGGAGGTTTGTCACCCTTTGTCCAGTGCAGGGATCAGCTCAGGTGGGAGGTTTGTCACCCTTTGTCCAGTGCAGGGATCAGCTCAGGTGGGAGGTTTGTCACCCTTTATCCCATGCAGGGATCAGCTCAGGTGGGAGGTTTGTCACCCTTTATCCCATGCAGGGATCAGCTCAGGTGGGAGGTTTGTCACCCTTTATCCCATGCAGGGATCAGCTCAGGTGGGAGGTTTGTCACCCTTTGTCCAGTGCAGGGTGTCCTCCTCTTATTATCCAGGGATGTGTCTCCTCTTCCCCTCCTTGCTTGAGCCACCCCCATGGCCCTCCTGGAGCTGAGTGTGACCCACCTCAGGGTCAGGACCTGCAATCCCACATCTCCAACCCCACACCACCTGGTTAAACCCCCAAATCTGCCAAATTTTTATTCTCTGCCTTCTCTTGCTTCAGGGGTTTCCCATCCTTTGGGGCTACAGGGGGGATTTGGGGTTTTTGAGTTGCTGAGAGACCTGGGAAGGAGCACACAGGTGTAAATAACTGACCAGGAATTCCTAACCCTGCACTGTGCCAGGTTTTGGGTTTGTCCTCACCCTGCCAGCCACTGTGCCTCCCCCATGGCCCTCCTGGAGCTGAGTGTGACCCACCTCAGGGTCAGGACCTGCAATCCCACATCTCCAACCCCACACCACCTGGTTAAACCCCCAAATCTGCCAAACTTTTATTCTCTGCCTTCTCTTGCTTCAGGGGTTTCCCATCCTTTGGGGCTACAGGGGGGATTTGGGGTTTTTGAGTTGCTGAGAGACCTGGGAAGGAGCACACAGGTGTAAATAACTGACCAGGAATTCCTAACCCTGCACTGTGCCAGGTTTTGGGCTGTCCTCACCCTGCCAGCCACTGTGCCTCCCATTCATCCTGGGTGTTTTAACCCTCCAGAGCCTGGGGGGTATTCCTGGCATTCCATTGGGATGCTGTGGGTGTCCCTACAGGCTGTAGGAACAACTACAGGGATACACCAGGCTGGGAGTGCAGCTCACCAGGAGCTTCATCAGCCACCTGAGCCAGGTCTGTGCTCGTGGGAAGGTGACAACAGCCCCAGTCCTGGGCTTGAGGGGGACAGGGGACAGCAGGACAGCGTGGAGGGGACGTGTGCAAGAGCTCAGTTCCCTCCAGCTGCTGTGAACTTGTCTGGGGGAACCAATCCATGGATTCACCAGACCTTCACAGGGTTGTGGTTGGGGAAAAAAAACCCCAATTTGACAAATCACTGAGAGGGATGGATGAAGTTAATCCAGAAGGAGAAACTTTTCCCAGACATCACTGTGGGAATTAGATCCCATGTTCCTCCTGAAGGGGTGGTGGGACCCTTCCTTGTCAGTGTCCCCTCCTGCCAGTGTCACCGTGTGAGCCAGGTTGCTCCTGTGCTGCAGAGGAGGCAGTGGGGGCTCCTGCAGGGAAATACTCACTGTTGGCCAAACTCTTTGAGTTTGCAGCCTGGAAAACTGGTGTCCGGAACAGGCCTGGAGCTACCCAGTGTTCCATGGATTGCATTTAGCTGGTGTTAACCTCTGCTGCTGATTTCTGGTTCCTGTGGAAAGATGATCAGTAGGGAAGGTTCTCAGTGATGGTGGCACAGAATTGAGTGTGTGAGACATTTCTTTAGGGCGTTCATTTAGAGAATCCTGCCTCCATTCCCCAAGGATGGGATGCTTTTGCAGGGGTGTTTTACAAAGCAACGTCTCTGTTTTCCTTGGCAGTTCTGGGCTGAGCCCCGAGGAGTCAGAGCGACTGACAGCACAGCCCGAGGCGGAGCCCGGCCGGCCCCGCAGCCCCCCGGCCCCACGCCGGGAGCAGGGCACATCCACACCCCCCTGGGAGCCCCAGGCAGCCCCAGCAGGCGGCAGGAAAGCAGGAGAGGAGGGCAGAGAGGAGCCGCAGCCCAAGGCGGCCAAGCCCGCCGAGGCGTCCCCAGAGCGGCGAGCGGCCAGAGCCGGCGAGAGACCCGGGCCCGGCCGGGAGAGAGCCCACGGGGAAACCCTGCCCCAAAAACCCCCCGGCGCCCCCAGCCACCGGGCAGAGGAGCAGAGGAAGCCTGGGGCTGCGAAGGAAGCGCCAGGAAAGGAATCTCTGGGTGCCCCGAGCGAACCAAAGAGCCCCGAGGCAGGCGGGGGAGCGGCGAAGGCGCAGAGCCCCGCGGCGGAGAAGGAGAAGGAGAAGAAACCCCCCGGGAACGAGGCCATGGAGGTCGGGGTGGAGGCCCACAAGAGGAAGTCGGAGAGCAGGGAGGAAGCTGCGGGCACCCCCGAGAAGAAGCCCCGTGTGGCTGAGCCCTGCCAGCACCAGCAGGCCTTTCGGAGCCAGCCCTTTCCCGGCGCGGGGCCGGCGGTGCCGCGGGTGCCCCCGCTCAAGGTGAGTCCTGCAGGGACAGAGCCACGGCCGGGTCTCCCCCGGGGGCTCCCCCGGGGCGCTGAACCCCAAACTGCGTGTTCAGTGGGGTGGAAGGGCCCCCAGAGGCCAGCCCATCCCTGTCACAGCTGCTGCTGGCCCAGGCTGCAGGCCCCTGGCTCTGCAGGGCCGTGGTGACAGTGAGCAGAGCGGGAGCCTGGCAGCTGGGGACACCCAGGGCCACAGGAGCCGGTGCCATCCGGGCTCCCCTGCAGCCAGCCCAGACACTGTGCTGAAGAGCAGAGCCCCTGGCAGCACTGCGGTCTGGTTTGTAGTGCTGCAGTGTAGGAGCAGGGAAGGAGAATTTGGGGGAACATCTCAGGAGCAGAGGCGCTTTGGCTGCTGAGCCTTTGCAAGAACTCACTGGGAAAGGAAGGAGGGAATTGGCTCCTGCTGGGATGGACAGCAGGACAGAAACACTGCAGGCTTGGCAGGCCCTGCCTTTGAGAGCCAGGTCAGGAGCAGGCAGCTGTGCTGACCCTGCTGCTCCAGGCCCTTAGGCAGAAACTGAATTCCTGTAGCCCTGTGTGTCCCAGGAATTCTGCTGCCATGTTCATATCCCTCTGTACTAAAAGGCTGCAAACTCAAAACTTTAAAAGCAGCTGATCGTTAATATTGGAAATTAACCCATGTTAATAAGAACAGCATCAAGGCAGGAAAGCATCAGTGAAACTGTCAGTGACACAGAACTGGGGAAACTGTCCATCAAAGAGGTCTGGAATACCGTGCAGGAACAGGGGCTGGCCTGCCAGGGCAATGAAGGTGGGATTTCATTTAACAGCAGAGTGAGTTGAAGGTGATTGTGAATAGATTCCCTTGCAAAGCAGGGAAAATGGGGACAGACGTGTCCCCAAGACGTGTCATCCCCCAGAAGTGAAGTGGTGAAGTGATTGATCAGAGCTCAGTGGGATCCAGTGAGGATTTTATGGATAAGGAAAATAAATGTAACCTCGAATGAACTCCCTGAGATCTCTGCAGGGGGAACAGCACCACGCTCAGTGCAGGGCTCAGCACATATGCTGGGAAGAGCAAACATGGGGAATGTCAGCTGAACATTGGGGGAAATGTTGGAGAAGGAAAGAGTAAATTATTGGCATTTTTTCCAGCTCAGGGGAGTTTTATGGCTTTGCACAAAGGCACTGAGGAGACAAATGATGGGTGAGCAGGGGGGAAGAGCGAGGCTGAGCCCAGCAGGGTAGTGACACCTTTCAAAGGACATCTGAATAGAAAATTGGATCTGAAATTACATCTGAAAAACGTGAAACGGTGGAACAGGGGCTGACAGGGCAGGGGCTGGATCAGCCCTTCAGGGAGGGAGCCTGGGGGCTCTGGGGTGACATGAGGGACGAGTTCCACTCAGAGCCACGGGGTTTGCAGTACCCAAAACTGCCTGGGAGGCATCCGAGGGTCGGACACGTTTCTTGTCTCAAGGCAGGGACAGGAGGGGTTTCTCCAAAGGGATTTCTCTATCACCACCACCACCACCAGCTCTCTCAGATAAACTGCAAACTCCAACCTGTGGGTCGGGAGTTGCCCGTGTCTCAGCCGTGCTTTTCTCCTGCTCTCTTGCAGATTCCCGTGTCCAGAATCTCCCCGATGCCATTTCCTGGGAGCCAGGTCTCTCCCAGGGCGTGCTTCCCCCTCTCCCTCAGCAGTCCGGGCAGGACAGGGGCCAGGACCTTGGCCGACATCAAGGCAAGAGCCCAGCAGGCCAAGGCTCAGAGGGCAGCGGCCGCCGCCGCCGCCGCCTCGGCCGGGGGAGCCGTGCCGGGGCCCGGCCCGGGCGGGGGGAGACCCCCGGGCAGGGGGGGAGACGGGAGAGACCCCGGCGGAGCCACCCAAGCTGCAACTGGAGCGAACGCACTGGAACTGGCAGGAACTGGAAGCGGGGGAGGTTCGAGAAGGTTCCTTCCCCACGGCCCAGGGCCCCGTTCCCAGGTGGAGGGCCAGGCGGAGCCGGGAGCTGCTCGCCATCCTCCTGGAGCACAACTACAGCCAGGGGCCCCCGCGGCAGCCCCGGCGCTAGGGAACGGCGCGGGGGCCACGCCGAGCCCCCCGCGGGGCACGGCCACCCCCGGGTCCCTGAGCACCCCCGGCGGGGACGGCGTGGGGACGGCCCCTCCTGCGCCGGCCCGGGGGGCTCCGGCAGCTGGGAACGGGAGCGGTCCCTCAGCAGGAGGCGGCCGTGACCTTCCCAAAGGCAAATCTCCTTCTCTGGTGTCCCCCGTGGCACCCGCGGGCCCCGCAGCTCAGGCTGGAGCCGTGGGTGCACCCGTCCCAGCCTCCAGCAGCTCCTCAGGAGCAGCCAGCCTTAAATCTCCTCCCGGTGGGGCCCTGCCCCGAGCGAGCTCCAGCATTCCTGCCAACAACCCTTTGGTCACCCAGCTGCTGCAGGGCAAGAGCGTCCCTCTGGAGCAGATCCTGCCCAAGCCGCTCACCAAAGCAGAAATGAAAACCGTCCCGGTGGCTCCTCAGGAAGAGAAGGGGGCGGCGGGGAACGGCGCCGAGGCGGGGGACAGAGCATCGAGTTTGCCCCCGCAGCAGCTTGGGAAGATCTTCTGCCAGAACAGGCCTCTGCCTCACGTTCCAAGGACCTTCCCGCTCGCCTCGGGAAAGGACCCCGGGCCTGAGCAGCACCAGGGCCACGAGGCACTGAGCAAATCCACCCAGGAGCAGATCCTGCAGACTCTCATCAAGAGGGTGCAGAGGCAGAACCTGCTGCCCGTCCTTCAGCCCTCGCAGCCGAACCTCCCGCACTCAGGTTTCCCGGTGGAAAACAGCTCCACCAGCCAGAGATTCATGCTGGGCTTCACGGGCAGGAGGACGTCCAAGCCCGCCATGTCTGGCCACTACCTGCTCAACATCTCCACCTACGGCCGCGGCTCGGAGAGTTTGAGGAGAGGCTTCTCCCTGAACGCCGAGCCCCGCCTGGGGCTGAGCAGCCCCGCCGAGGGCGAGGACACGGGCGGCCGGGGCAGTTGCAGCGAGGAGGACGCGGACGACGACGAGAGCTCCGGGGACGAACGGGAGCCGCGGTCGGGGCAGGGGGAGAAGGAGCGGGGCCCTGCAGAGCCCGGCTCCCTCGGGGCGAAGGCCGAGGCGGCCCCGGCGGCCAAGGAGAAGGTGGCGGCGCTGGACGGCACGGCGCTGGCCCGGGACCTGCTGCAGGCGGCGCAGGAGCAGATGGCCCACGCCATGAGGAGCAAAGGCCACGGCGGCACGGAGCTCTTCGGGCCCCCCACCCCATCCCCGGACCCAGCACAGCCCCCGCTGCTCCCCGCCCCGCACCCCCCGAAGCTGCCGGGGAGCGCCGGGCCGCAGCTCCTGGGGCCCAGCTACAGCGGCACCATCAACGTCTCCACGTCGCCCGACGTGGGCCAGGGCTCGCTCGTGAGCGAGTGCAAGCAGCTGGCCGGCTCCATGGGCAACGTCATGTCCTTCTCCGTGACCGTCACCACCATCCCCGCCGGGCAGGCTGTGAACTCCGGCGGCCACGGGCAGAGCCTCCCGGTGCAGGCGTTCGCCGAGGACGGCGCCGTGGAGGATCCCCCTTCCAAATGTTACTGCAGGTTGAAAGCCATGATCATGTGCAAGGGCTGCGGTGCCTTCTGCCATGACGACTGCATCGGCCCCTCCAAGCTCTGCGTCTCCTGCCTCGTCGTGCGGTAACGGGGGCGGCACGTGGGGAGTAGCGCGGCTTCCTCCGGGGGCTGCTGTCCGAAGAATCTTGGGAAGAAACAGGAATTTTACTGCCTTGCACAAGAGACACGTTACTGAATCAGGAATACGGAGTTAGAGTCCTTCTTTCATTAACGAAAGAGCACCTTGTACAGGGAGTCGAAATCGCGCTCGACTACGTGAATTGTGACAAGAGTTTGCACTTAAGGAATTATGTAAATACGCCACATTATTTTGTTTAAAGATATTTTTTCAATCTTTTAGGAGACAGCGTTTGACTTGTACTGCAGTTCCAGTAACCCCAGCCTGCTCTGAGCACGTTTGCTGAGCTCTGCTCTCCCCGGGGAGTCCAGCCCACAGCCCGTTGTTGGTCGTCTCTCGGCAGAGGGAATGGGATCATCCAGTGCAGCCGTGGGTGCTGATGGAGCACCGAGGCAGGAGCCCTGAGTGGGCTCCCTTGGCTGCTCCCGGTTCAGATCCCTGGCGTGCCAGCCTTGCCCTCCATCGCCTTTCCCTCTGTTGCAGAGGCTCCTGGGCTGTGCAGTGCAGGCTGGCGTTGCTGGTTTGCAGATCCCCCTCTCCCGGTATCCCAGCTGAAGGGAGGTGTCCGGGTGTGCTGCTGCTGGAACTGCAGGGAGCTGGGCTGGACAGGGGAGTCACCAGGACAGCTCAGTGCTGGGACTGTCTGTGACCCACCGGGAGCAGGGGTCACACAGCTGTGCCTGGCCAGGCAGGAATCTGCTCTCCTGGGTATTCCCAGGGCTGGCAGGAATCTGCTCCCCTGGGCATTCCCAAGGCTGGCAGGAATCTGCTCCCCTGGGCATTCCCAAGGCTGGCAGGAATCTGCTCCCCTGGGCATTCCCAAGGCTGGCAGGAATCTGCTCCCCTGGGCATTCCCAAGGCTGGCAGGAATCTGCTCCCCTGGGCATTCCCAAGGCTGGCAGGAATCTGCTCCCCTGGGCATTCCCAAGGCTGGCAGGAATCTGCTCCCCTGGGCATTCCCAAGGCTGGCAGGAATCTGCTCCCCTGGGCATTCCCAAGGCTGGCAGGAATCTGCTCCCCTGGGCATTCCCAAGGCTGGCAGGAATCTGCTCCCCTGGGCATTCCCAAGGCTGGCAGGAATCTGCTCCCCTGGGCATTCCCAAGGCTGGCAGGAATCTGCTCCCCTGGGCATTCCCAAGGCTGGCAGGAATCTGCTCCCCTGGGCATTCCCAAGGCTGGCAGGAATCTGCTCCCCTGGGCATTCCCAAGGCTGGCAGGAATCTGCTCCCCTGGGCATTCCCAAGGCTGGCAGGAATCTGCTCCCCTGGGCATTCCCAAGGCTGGCAGGAATCTGCTCCCCTGGGCATTCCCAAGGCTGGCAGGAATCTGCTCCCCTGGGCATTCCCAAGGCTGGCAGGAATCTGCTCCCCTGGGCATTCCCAAGGCTGGCAGGAATCTGCTCCCCTGGGCATTCCCAAGGCTGGCAGGAATCTGCTCCCCTGGGCATTCCCAAGGCTGGCAGGAATCTGCTCCCCTGGGCATTCCCAAGGCTGGCAGGAATCTGCTCCCCTGGGCATTCCCAAGGCTGGCAGGAATCTGCTCCCCTGGGCATTCCCAAGGCTGGCAGGAATCTGCTCTCCAGGGCATTCCCAGGAGCTGGAGCTGCCATCCCATGGCCCAGAGCCAGCTGCTCTTGGGACACAGGGGCAGGTGATGGGCACAAAGCACCACCCTGGGTCCTGCCATGCTCTGGGAAGCGTTTTGTTCTCATGCAAACACTCCCATGGTCAGACATCTCCAGTTTCTATCCAAGATTTTGTATTTCCTGGGTGTAGGGAAAGGCAGTGGAGTGTCTGCCTGGGCCTCGTTGGGTGGCTCTTTGTGTTTGAAATACCAAATCGGGCTGAGCTCAGCTCAGCCGGGCCCAGCTGAGGGAGGGGTGCTGGGGCAGCCCCTCAGAGCTGAGTGGGGACACGGCTGGTGGCAGCTGTGCCCCTGGCAGTTCTGGGTTCCTTCTCTTGCACCGAGGGAAGTGAAAGCACAGTGGCCCCGTGTTCCTGGAGCTGAGGGCACCGATGGAGCACGAGTCGCCCGAGGGCTTTCCCCTCCCGGGCCGGGTGGAGGCCTTGCTGCATCCTGGTCAGGGAACAGAGCTATGTATGTTTTTGATGGAAAAGCACTGAATTCACTTTTAATCCAAAGGCCTTTTAAAGCTGAAGCAATATTCCCCCAGCGGCGGGGCAGCTGAGTGGTGCACAGACTCTCAGCCTTCCCTTCCCCTCTCCTTTGTACTACTGCTCCCCTCTCCTTCTCCCCGGGAGCCCGGCACTGGCGGTGAGGAGCAGAAGTCATTCCTGGGTGGTTTTCCAAGGAACAAGAGGAGCTCCAGGAGCCTTTGGACAACGCTCTCAGGCACAGGGTGGGATTGTTGGGGTGTCTGCAGGGTCAGGAGTTGGACTGGATGATCCCTGGGGTCCGTTCCAGCACGGGATATTCCGTGACTGTGATTTAGGTGGTGATGACAAGGAAAAGGGAGTTCCAGACTCGATCCCGTGGTAGCAGGAGCATTTCCCTCCCTGCCCAGGGAGTGCAGCTGCCTCTGGAGCAGCAGGAGCTGCAGCATCACCTGCTCTGGGTTCTGCCATCTGAAATTCACTGCAGAGCAGTGACCCCCCCTGACGTGATTCCACATCGCTGCTCAGGCATCCCGTGCTGAGGAGGATTTAGGGATTAGAAATTAAGTCGATTTTTTAAAATCTAAAACATTGCACAAAATTGTCCCCGTGAGCATCTGCCACCCGTGGTGGGGTGGGGGTAGCCCAAGAACCCCCAGCCTGTGCCAGTTCCTGCCACTGCCCCCTTGCAGCTCTTGCTCGGGAAGAGGAAATCCTGCATTTTTGTAAACCTGGGGAGGGAGGCAGTGTGGGCCGGTTTGGAGCTGAGAGCAGGGTCTGTCCACTCCTCCCTCAGGAGGGAAATTCCTTCCCATAGTCCTGGACAGACCCTTCCATTCCTGGCTGAGAGAGCCTGGGAGAGCTTGGTGATGCTTACACAACAGAGGAGTTCTCAGAGGAGAGTGAGAGGTTTCTCTGCGCACTTGGCTCAGTTCTGGCCTCTCCTTGGCTCCTCTCAGGGTGATTTTCCAGGCTGCTGGAGAGGGGGCAGCAGAGGATGAGGAGGGAGCTGTGCCCCTGAGCACTCACAGGCGTTCAGCTGCTGCTGGCAAGGCTCTTCAGAGCTCCCCTGGCGCTTCCCAAAGCAGCCCCACCCGGCTGTGGCTCCAGCAGGTTCCTCCTCTTGGATTTCCCCGGTGGCCTGGCTGAGCTTGGGCTGGGCTTGCTGTGCCCGTTCCCTGGCAGTGCAGGGCAGTGCCATTCCCAGAGCCAGCCCATGGGAATGTGCCCTTCTGGCTGGGGACACCCCAGGAGGGGCTGCCTGGGGACCCGGGGTGGGACGCTCAGTGACCTTGGACATGGAGGTGGCTCTGGCTGGTGTTGGCCAGGGTAGGATCGTGCTGGTGGCTCAGGACTTTCCACCTGTCAGTGCCTTAGTTCCATTTCGTGGATCAACACTTAGCTTGGGCTGCTTTCCTTCCTTTTCTTTTTAAAGAAATCAATTCTCTCAGTGCCCCTTGAGGTGTGAGCACGCTCCTGGTGCAGCCTGGGGGAGCATCTCCGAGGGTGAGGAGATCGTGGGGGATAAGGGCTGGGTGTAATAATCCCTGGAACAGGGACAAAGCCATGGAAGTTTGTGTGTGCTGCAGCTGGGTGTGGGATGATGGCTTTCAGAACGGGGAATCCTGGAGCGGGAGCAGCCTGTCCCACTGCTGGGGCTCCTTCCCACGGGCAGTAAATCCACCTCCACAAAGGATTTATAATAAAGGGATGTCGTGATGGAGTTTAAACCATGAGACTTTGGTCCCCCAGGAACGAGTTTAGTAGCACGGCAGGGAATGGCAGTATCAAAAATCCAGGATTTCCAAAGCCTGATGTCAGAGTGTTTGTGGCAGGGAAAGGAACCTGATGAGGGAGGAGGATTCAGTTTCCCTTTTCAGGACACAGAACTGGAATTAGAGCCTGACCAACGCTTCACTTCTCAGCCCCAAAGCCCACGGACAGGCTGAGGCATAGGAGGTGCCAGCACGACTCTGGGGGTGCAGGTTTTGAGCCAGGTGGGCAGCAAGGGAAGGAATTTGGTGTGGAATTTTACTTTCCCTCCGGGAATTTACAGGAAGGAGGAGGTTCCAAGCAGTTGCACTGGTTGGGGAGTTGGATTTTTTTTTTTTTTTTTTTGGTTGCACAAAACAGCTGCTGGAGCAGCAGTTCCTGGTCAGGTCGTTACCGGGAGGGATCCTCAGGAGGGATCATCGGGAGGGACCTTCAGGAGGGTTCCTCGGGAGGGATCCTTGGGAAGGACCTTTGGGAGAGTTCCTCAGGAGGGTTCCTCAGGAGGGTTCCTTGGGAGGGATCCTTGGGAGGGATCCTTGGGAAGGACCTTCAGGAGGAACCTTCGGTAGGAATCCTCAAGAGGGACCTTCAGGAGGGTTCCTCAGGAGGGATCCTCGGGAGGGATCTTCAGGAGGGACCTTTGGGAGGGTTCCTCGGGAGGATTCCTCGGGAGGGATCTTCAGGACGATTCCTCGGGAGGGACCTTTGGGAGGGATCTTCAGGAGGGATCTTTGGGAGGGTTCCTCGGGAGGGATCTTCAGGAGGGACCTTTGGGAGGGTTCCTCGGGAGGATTCCTCGGGAGGGATCTTCAGGAGGGTTCCTCGGGAGGGATCCTCGGGAGGGATCTTCAGGAGGGTTCCTCAGGAGGGATCTTCAGGAGGGTTCCTCGGGAGGGATCCTCGGGAGGGATCCTCGGGAAGGACCTTCAGGAGGAACCTTCGGTAGGAATCCTCAGGAGGGACCTTCAGGAGGGATCCTCAGGAGGGATCTTCAGGAGGGTTCCTCGGGAGGGATCCTCGGGAGGGATCCTCGGGAAGGACCTTCAGGAGGAACCTTCGGTAGGAATCCTCAAGAGGGACCTTCAGGAGGGTTCCTCAGGAGGGATCCTCGGGAGGGATCTTCAGGAGGGACCTTTGGGAGGGTTCCTCGGGAGGATTCCTCGGGAGGGATCTTCAGGACGATTCCTCGGGAGGGACCTTTGGGAGGGATCTTCAGGAGGGATCTTTGGGAGGGTTCCTCGGGAGGATTCCTCGGGAGGGATCTTCAGGAGGGACCTTTGGGAGGGTTCCTCGGGAGGAT